AAATACTCCCTAACATTTAGGGCTGGGTGGTCTGTTTCCTTATCTCTTGTTCACTCTGGCTCAGCGCTTCTGCCTGCCAGGAACAGTTTGCCAGGGACCCCCTATGTCTCCCTGCCTACCTTAACCCTTTCCTTATTCATGGGGGTGCAAAGCAAGGGTGGCCCCGCCCCCCGCCCCCTCCAGCTTGTTCCCTGGGGTCGTTCTTTGCTTGCCTGCTGCAGGATTGAGAGGTCGCCCGTCTCTCCTGCTCCAGTCTTGCCTTGACTACTAGGTTGTTTCTTCAGCTTAGATGTGTCCTAAAACGTCCCTCCTTAAATAAGCCTCCTTTATCCTACGTCTCGAAGGTGGCCCCGTTTCTTGCTCTTCACGGAAAAACGTTTCACAAGAGTTGCTTCGAAGGCTTTCTCAACCATTGTATGTCCATCATTCATTTTCTCTTTGACCCACTTCAGTACCACTTGTCCCAACGCCGTGTCACCAACACTGCACCAAATGCCGTCGTGGGTAAGACGCCTCTCTATCCACGGATTACCGGACTCTTGTCAGTGTTTGATGACGCTGATCTCTCCTTGAACGCTTTTTTCTTTTCTGCATTAGTTTCCTGTCATCGTCACAATCAATTACCAGAAAACTAGCTGTTTAGAGTAATAGGTATTTATTTATTTTTATTTATTTATTTTTTTTTAAAGATTTTATTTATTTGACAGAGAGAGAGATCACAAGTAGGCAGAGAGGCAGGCAGAGAGAGAGAGGAGGAAGCAGGCTCCCCGCGGAGCAGAGAGCCCGATGTGGGGCTCGATCCCAGGACCCTGAGATCATGACCTGAGCCGAAGGCAGAGGCTTAACCCACTGAGCCACCCAGGCGCCCCTAGAGTAATAGGTATTTATGATCTTACCTATTTATCGCCAGTTCTGTAGGTGAGAAGTCTGACAAGAGTCCCACTGGACTCAAGACCTCAGCCTTAATAGGGGTTCTGCGGGAAGAACTTGAAGCCCATCCATGTTAATAAATCCAGATTTAGAGCTCTACACTTGAGGTCCCCACATCCTTGGCGGTTATCAGCCCGGGGCCACATTTAGCTCCTAGAGGCCCGTTCTCCTGCCCTTGCCCCTGGGCTCCCTACAGGTCAGTTAGCAGCAGCGTGCTGACTCTTCTCATGCTCTGAATCCTCTTGACAACTCTTCATGCCTTCCTGACTCTCGCCCAGGAAAGTTCTCTGCTGGTTTTTTTTTTTTAATTTTTTTTTTTATTTAAAAAACATTTATTTTTAGAGAAAGATGGGGAGGGGCAGAGGGAGAGTGAGAATCCTCCGGCCCTTCCCCACTGAGCATGGAACCCAATGCAGGGCTCAGTCTCAGGACCCTGAGACTATGATCTGAACTGCAATCAGAAGTTGGGCCCTTAACCAGCTGAGCCATCCAGTTCCCTGCTAGTAAGGAGTCCCAAAAGTTTCCTACTGTTAAGGGGTCATATGGATCTGCTTCCTGGTGACTGTATACTCCTACCTTACCAGCTGTATCTTTTCAATTCACGCTGTTCTTCCTGATCTATCTACACAGTAGCTATCTCTGGGCTCTGTTCTCAGAAGCTTGCCCTTCTCTGTTCTTAACCCCAGAGAGATCCTAGCCATTCCCACAAGTATGTGATGTACTTAAACAGGTAGCATATACCGGCCCAGCCTAGAGCCTCCCCCGAGCGCCAGAGCACCGGGCTCCTGTGCCCAGTTGCCTTTTTCAGTGGTTCTTAAAGTGTAGTTCCCAGACAGCACCAGGGTTGTCGGGAAACTTGTTACAAATGCGAATTCTTTTTTTTTTTTTTTTTAAGATTTTATTTATTTGACAGAGAGAGAGATATCACAAGTAGGCAGAGAGGCAGGCAGAGAGAGAGAGGGGAGGAAGCAGGCTCCCTGCGGAGCAGAGAGCCCGACGCGGGGCTCCATCCCAGGACCCTGGGATCATGACCTGAGCCGAAGGCAGAGGCTTTAACCCACTGAGCCACCCAGGCGCCCCGACAAATGCAAATTCTTGAGCCCACCCCTGTGCTCCTGAATCAGGAACTGGCGAGAAGTCAGAAGCTTGTGTTTTCACAAGCACTCCAGGTGATTCTGCTTGCCGAGGTCTTCAGACCAGGGCTCGTCAGTTGCTCCACCTGGATGTCCTCAGGTGTCTGACTCTAGATCTTCCCACCTACTGTTTCACCTTGATCAAAATTTTATGTATTAGGCTTCACTGTCTACCCACCCAGGTGCTAAAGCTACTGTGTATCCACGCAGTGGCCAGAGTAGTGGTTTAAAAATACAAGTCAGGTGATATTCCTTTGCTTTAAAGTCTTCCAGTGGCTCCCACTGCCCTTGACATTTATGATTACTATTATTATTTTCATTTAAGTAGGCTTCACGCTGGGCCTCAACACAGAGCTCAAATTCATGACCCTGAGATCAAGGCCTGAGCTGAGATGGAGAGTCAGTTAACTGACTGAGCCGCCCAGGTGCCCCGCCCTTGAAATTAAGTCTAAACCTTCGCTCTCTTCTATGGGGCCCTCTCTGGCCACCCCGCTGACCTCTCCTGGCGTTCCCTCTCACTATGGTCCAGCTACTCAGGTCTCCTCTCTAGTGTAGCTTATACGTACTGAACTCTTTCTAGCCTCGGAGGCTTTGCATTTGCTGCCCATTGCCTGGTATGTCCTCCTGTGGTCTTCTCAGTAGCTGGCATCTTTGAATCCTTCAGGCCTCAGCTCAACTGTCCATCCTCAAAGACACTGCCCTGCCCCTTTCTAAGCGTCTCTCAACCCGTTACCTCCTGCCCTTTTTGTTCACTGCACCGTTTACTTCCTGCCTATCATCTGATACTATGATGTTGTCTTATTTGTGATCCTGTTTCACTCTTACTACCGTAATATTACAGCTTCTGAAAGGACAGAAACCTCATTGGTCTTGTTCTCTGATGTCTCCCTAGTGCTCAGCTTGGTGCTTGGTATATAATAGGTGCTCAGTAAATATCTGTTAAATTAATAAATCAGCTTTCTAGATGCTTGTGCCGGACCTTGGACTTGCTTGTCATGGACTAGAGACTGCCCCCGCGGGCAGACAGGAATGCTTAGGCCTATGGGGGTTGTTCCTGCAGGTCTAGAGCTCTTCTTCCTTCCTTCCTTCCTTTTTATTCATCTAAACTGTTCTTTTTTTTAAGATTTCATATTTTATTCATTTAAGAGAGAAAAAGAGAGCTTGCATGCACATGATATGGGCAAGGGGCACATGTAGAGGAAGAAGTAGGCCCCTACCCCTGGGCTTGACATGGGGCTCAATCCCAAGTCCCTGCGATCATGACCTGAGCTGAAGACGCTTAAAGACAACTGAGCCACCCATGTGCTCCTCTTTCTTTTCTTTTTTTTTTTTTTAAATATTTTATTCATTCATCTGACAGAGATCACAAGTAGGGATAGAGGCAGGTAGATGGGGGAAGCAGGCTCCCTGCCGAGCAGAGAGCCAGATGCAGGGCTCAGTCCCAGGAGCCCGAGACGACAACCCGAACCGAAGGCAGAGGCTCAACCTACTGAGCCACCCAGGCGCCCCACTTTCTTTTTAAAGATTGATTTATTGAGATGTTTGGGTGGCTTAGTCGGTTAAGTGTCTTCCTTCATCAGGTCATGATCCCAGGGTCCAGAGGCTGTGTCCTGCACTGGGCTTCTTGCTCAGCGGGGAGCCTGCTTTTCCCTCTGCCTGCCATTCCCCTTGCTTGTGCTCGCTCTCTCTCTCTGACAAATAAAATCTTTACAAAAAATAAAAACAAGATTTATTTTTAGAGAGAGTGCATACACGTGTGGGGAGGGGCAGAGGGGGAGAATCCCCAGGCAGACTCCCTGCTGAATGTGAGCCTGAAACAGGGCTTGATCCCAGGACCCATGAGATCATGATCTGACTCAAAACTAAGAGTCAGAGGCTTAACCAAATGAGCCATGTAGGTACCCTTAGGGCTTTTGTTTCTTTTTCTTTTTTTTTTTTCTTAAGATTTTATTTATTTATTTGTTTATTTGTCAGAGAGAGAGAATATACCGGCAGGGGGAACAGCAGGCACCGGGAGAAGCTGGTTCCCTGCTCATAAAGGAGTCCTATGTGGGACTCGATCCCAGGACTCTGGGATCATGACCTTAGCCGAAGGCAGGGGCTTTAATTGAGTGAACCACCCAGGCATCCCAGAGTTCTTGTTTCTTAATGCTCCGAGAGACCCACTCCCACCTTTTTTCCCAATCAATCATTTTTACCACAGTACCATGCTTTGCATAGTATGTTAAGGCTATAATATTTACTGATTATTTAAAGAAGTGTCATCAAATTTCTAAATCTTTGAAAGACTTTATATAAAAAGTTGGTAATTCAGTGATATTGAGCAAAGGAAGTGAGTAAAGGAAGCACATACTGGGTAATTCTGTTTATTTGAAATTCAAAACCAGGCTACGCCAATCTGTGATGATAAGAATCAGTTTAGTAGCTATCCTGGGTTCTGACTGGGGAGCACATAGAGTGCCCTGGGGGTGCTGGAAGCATTTGTATGTTGATGTTGAGGGTGAGTATACATTGTAATGTGTACATCAAGCATGTGGTTAAGATTTGCGCCCTTTATAGAGCTTCCGTCTCAAAAAGTATATAAAAATACTCTCAAAAACAGATTCAGAAAGAATTGTGTCAAAGCATGAGTCCATTCCTGTTTGGGGTCTGTAAGGTGTGGCTGGGGGCCCACTCAGTCTCCCCCCTTCCTCAAACCGTGGCCAAGGTGAGCACCTGCATGTTGGAATTATCAGCGTTGCTGGCCGAAAGGACGCTGCTTCCCAAATCCCGTGATGTGGCCCGGCATCCACCTGATTCTGAGTGACCTTGAGGACGCAGGGGTGTTGCTGGGAAAGGGGGAGGAAAGGAGCAGAGACTCAGGGTGGAGCAGGTGTTCAGCTCCAGTTCCTACAACTCTTAGTGCCTCTGCCCCATCCGGACAAGAAGAAACAAACCGAGCAGATCTGGGGGACATCTCCACGTATTCTGAGAAAGCAGGTAGTTCATTGTGGGGGCTCTCCCTAGGTCTGCTGCCGGCTTCTGTCTTGACGCTTCTCTCCTCTCAGTGCCAGTCAGCTTTCACAGGGTCTCAGGTTCTCCAGAACAGTGTGGCTAAGACCGCAGTCTCTGCTTTAGAATGACTTGGGGGGTGTTTGTTATAAATGCAGAGTTCTGGGGCTCACTGGAAATATGTGAAGGGGCGACTCAGGGGTCTCTTTTAACTGTGCCTCCAACAGCTGCTCTCCAGTGTGAGAACTGATCTAGAATGTGGGAAGGACCTTGGCTTGCTTTTGCTGTCCATTTCTGGGTCTGTGTAGCTGGAGGGCATGTTGTGGTACACTCCAGATGACCTTGAAGACCGCCCTTTTTGTGTTTACCTCCAAATCTGGGTGGAAAATGTAGAATCCTATATTTCCAAGTGAGTTTCCCCTAATTAAGCCCTTTGCTTTAGAGACAGAAAACAGACCCAGTCATCGGGGTTTGGAATCCAGGACTGGAGCGCCTGTGGCAGTCTAATTTCCAGGGGAACTTGCCTGGAGATGGGGCCCCAGGGGGTGGAGGGAGCAGGCTTGAGAAAGTTGCCCTCTCTTCTAGCCGGGTACGGTGGATGGCGGGGCAGGTGAGCGTGCCCGCGCTGGAGGACCGCCTTCAGTGCCCCATCTGCCTGGAGGTCTTCAAGGAGCCCATGATGCTGCTGTGTGGCCACTCCTACTGCAAGGGCTGCCTGGTGTCCCTGTCCCGCCACCTGGACTCAGAGCTCCGCTGCCCAGTGTGCCGACAGGAGGTGGATAGCAGCAGCCCCCCGCCCAACGTGTCCCTGGCACGGGTGATTGAAGCCTTACAGTTCCCTGGGGACCCAGAGCCCAAGATCTGTGAGCACCACCAGAACCCGCTCAGCCTCTTCTGTGAGAGGGACCAGGAGCTCATCTGTGGCCTCTGTGGCCTGCTGGGCTCCCACCAGCATCACCGTGTCACACCCGTCTCCACAGTCTACAGCCGCATGAAGGTGGGTAGTGAGGCTGCTGTGAGCGGGGGAGGGCGGCAGGTGCTGGTGGTACAGGGACACTGAGTCCAGCTCCTGCCCTCTCTGGAACCATTGCTTGGCACAGAAAGGTCCCGGGCCAAGATGCCGGATCCTTCCAGCCCTCTGCTGCGGCAGAGCTCATAGAGCACCCGTCCGTCCATCATGTTCTGAGCAGCTGCTCCAGGCTCCGGGTGCTGGGGACTCCTGGCCTGCGTGATAGTCCCCTGTCAAGTGCGAGCCCCTTCCCTTGCTCGGTTTTTCCTGGTAGCTCTCATTCATATTTTGAGTGCTCCCCAGAAGATACATGAGGGCAAGTGCTTTGTTTTGTTTCCTTGGGTTTTTTCTCTTTCTTCCTTTTTTTTTTTTTAAAGATTTTAAAAAATTTATTTGACAGAGATCACAAGTAGGCAGAGAGGCAGGCAGAGAGAGAGAGGAGGAAGCAGGCTCCCCACTGAGTGGAGAGCCTGATGCGGGCCTTGATCCCAGGACCCTGGGACCATGGCCCGAGCTGAAGGCAGAGGCTTTAACCCACTGAGCCACTCAGGTGCCCCTTTTTTCTTTTTTTAAAAAAGATTTTATTTATTTATTTGACAGAGACACAGTGAGAGGGGGAACACAAGCAGGAGGAGTGGGAGAGGGAGAAGCTCATTGCTGAGCAGGGATCCCAATGTGGGGCTTGAACCCCGGACCCTGGGATCATGATCTGAGCAGAAGGCAGCTGCCTAACTGACTGAGCCACTCAGGCGCCCCTCCTCAGGTATTTTCATGCCTACTGCCATGCCTAGCATGTAGTAAAAGCTTAAAGCATATTTGAAGATAGAGTGGATTCCTGTCCTTGTGGACTTTCGCCTCAGATCTAGCAGGTCCTCATTTAAGATGAATGATGATGATGAAACCGTCTTAGGTAAATACGTTGATTTAAGATTTATGAAGGGGGTGGAAGTATCTATCATTGTACGTTACAAATGAGGAGACCGGCTCAGAGAAGGTAAGGTCATACAGCTTGTCAGCGGCAGAGTGTGGACTCAAACTGTGGCTGATTTTCTTTCCATTGCCAGCAGATCAAAGGAGGGCAGGAAGGATTCTTGGAAGTGAGTTGCTAGAGGGCATCTGGCACAGTGGGAGGGAGGGAGAGTAAAGGTCAGGAATGACAAAATACAGGTGATGGGGCAGAAAAAAGAAAGAGCCTGGAGATCTGAAGGCAGAGTTCCAGGGGTTCCTGGCTGAGCGCCCTAGGAGAGCCTCTGTTTGCTTCTCTAGTCCTGGAAGACAAGTATGAAACACGCACAGCCAGCGTGGCCGTCCAGCAGCCTCTCTTGCCCATAGAGGTTTACGTGGCATCTAATGTGTGCTCAGTGTTGTGCTAGAGCCCGTGGTACAATAGTGGGCAAGAGGTTTGGCCCACCCTGGGGGAGCTCACAGCCTGGGAGTCTGGCAGAGAATAGCATGTGTTGGGTGCTACTGTCAGGGTTAAGGACAGGTGATGGGGAGACCGTCTCGAATGTAGCTCCTGCATGGTCTCAGGTGGTCAGGGAAGGTTTCCTGGAGGAAGCAGACCGCTAAACCAAGACCTGAAGCAAAGGAGGAAAAAAGGGGGAAGAAAGCATTTCCTGTGTAAGGACAGCCCTGCAAGAGATCAGGAGGGAGGGGTGTTTAAGAAATGGTAAGTTGTTCCTTTGAGCTCAGGGGAGAGTTGGGTACATGGAAGCCAGGTCATGGTAAGGCTTGTGTGACATGTCAAGGGATTTGTAGTTTATTCAGAGGACCATCCTGGCTGGGGGTGGCACTGGAGGGTTTTAAGCAGAGTTGGGATGTGGTCCGAGCACTCTGCCAGAGAGTGGACTGGAGAGTGAGGCTGGGGATGGGTAGGAGACTGGGAGTAATGAGATATGGGCGGTGATAGAAGCCGCAGGAGGGGAGATGACCCACCAGAAGAGCCTGCAGCGTGATAGGGAAGACACAGAAGATGGGTTTAAGATGCAGGTAAGTAGGGGCGCCTGGGTGGCTCAGTGGGTTAAAGCCTTTGCCTTCAGCTCAGGTCATGATCCCAGGGTCCTGGGATCTAGCCCCACATCGGGCTCTCTGCTCCACGGGGAGCTTCCTCCTCTCTCTCTGCCTGCCTCTCTGCCTAATTGTGATCTCTGTCTATCAAATAAATAAATAAAATCTTAAAAAAAAAAGATTCAGGTAAGTAGAGCACCCCAAAAGGGACAGAAAGAATCAACAGAGAGAGTAGGAACATGGCTAAATCTAGCTTCCTGGAAATCAGAACAGAGCATTTTATTTTATTTTATTTTATTTTATTTTATTTTATTTTATTTTATTTTTAATTCATTTGACAGACAGAGATCACAAGTAGGCAGAGAGGCAGGCAGAGGGAGAGAGAGGAGAAAGCAGACTCCTTGCCGAGCAGAGAGCCAGATGCGGGGCTTGATCCCAGGACCCTGGGATCATGACCCGAGCTGAAGGCAGAGGCCTTAACCCACTGAGCCACCCAGGCGCCCCAGAACAGAGCATTTTAATGAGAACAAGATCACTTGTGTGAAATGCCTGCTGAGGACTGGAAAGAGCCTGTTAGATTTAGCAGGAAGGATTGCTTATCTTGACAAGAGTAGCTTTAGTGGAGTGTGAGAGGTGGAAGCCAAATTGCAGAGCAGTGACACCGAGCCCGTGTCTTACTAGCCCAGGGAGGAGGGAAACACACAGTAGCTTCGTCATTTCTGGCTTGGAGCCTGGGACTGCTTGGGTCCTGGTTTTAGATGTGGGTGTTTGTGATCCCGAGACTTCTCTGTGATGCAACAAAATCGTGTTCCTGTATTGGATCCCTTTCCTACGTTCCTGTTTTCCTCCTGTTGATTGAGGTCTTGAGGTGGTTTATTTGTATGATTCTGTTTCTTCTCCTGGTGACCCAGTTTGGTGGGCAAAGACAAAAAGAACTAATCTCATCTTTCTGTGCCTCAGGAGAATTACCACTGGAATTCTATCCCTGGGTTGCTGTGAGATCTGATGCCTCATTATTCAGAGCAAGACCCTGGGTTCATTTACCCTACACTGGCGTTCTTCTTCTTCTTTTTAAAAGATTTTATTTATTTATTTGACAGAGAGCAGGAGCCCACAAGCAGGGGGAGCGGCAGAGGGAGAGGGGAAAGCAGGCTCCCCACTGAGCAGGGAGCCTGACTCGGGGCTCGATCCCAGGACCCTGAGATCATGACCTGAGCTGAAGGCAGAGGCTCAACCCACTGAGCCTCTCAGGTGTCCCCTGGCTTTATTCTTGATTCAGCTCCTTTCCTGAAAGGATTTTGTAGTTGGTTTGTCCGTCCATCCCTCCCTTCCCCTTCCTCTCTCTCTCCCTCCCTCTCTCTTTCTTTCCATTTATTTTTAAATAATGTCTGCACCCAGTGTGGGGCTTGGACTCACAGCCAAGAGATCAAGAGTCACAAGTTCTTCCAACTCAGCCAGCCAGGCACTCCTCTTGCTGCTGATTTCTGCTTGGAACTATCTAAGCCAGAGACCATGTATGTTCCATGGGCACAGACCAGCAGGGTTCCCTTTAAGTAGTGCAGCTGAATGGGGGTCTGGGTGGTCCTGGTCGAACCCTTAGGACTGTTAGATTTGAGGCCAGGGAAGCCCAGGAGAAGTGAGTTTACTTTAGCCCGGGGAGGCCCCAAATCCAGGCAGGGCCCAAGTCTGCTAGGGAAGGATTCAGGTCTTTATAGGGCGTGGAGAATCCCCAGGTATAAGCTGGGCAACTGTATGCATGACTGGCCTCCCTTGGGGCCAACTTTTGGTGCTGTCTTGATCAAATGCCCATTGACTGTAGACCTCCAGGTGACCAGGAGTTGGGTTGGTGGGTACCCAATGGCCAGCATTCCCTTTAGGGAGCGTCGGCTTCAGACGGGTCATCGCCCCTCTTGGATGCTGTGTGGTGCCTTCCAGGTGGACGGTGTTTAGCGTCCGCCGCTGTGTCCTGAGGAGGGATGATCTGGAGATCCTTTTCTGTCTGGGTAATCCCTGCCCTCAGTGTAGAATATTCTTGAATAATCCTAACTTGTTTTGGAGTCAAGAGTGCTTGGGTAGCTCTTTCCCTGGTTCCACTGGGAGTGCCTACGGCCATCGGGATGCTCCCTGGAAGGGTGAAGCCCGGGGCTGGCCCCAAAGAGCTGAGAAGCTGAAGAGGGGCGCTCACCAGGCCGCGGTGCGTCGCCTGCAGGAGGAGCTGGCGGCTCTCATCTCCAACCTGAAGCAGGAGCAGAAGAAGGTGGACGAGCATATTGCCAAGCTGGGCAACAACCGGACCCGCATTGTCGTGAGTGCCCTTTCCCCGCACCCTTCCCCGGGGCTGGCTGCCTTCCCTCTCCTGCGGAGCTCAGTTTTCATCGTTCTTCACAGAAATCCATGCTTTCGTGCAAAGCCGGGATTCAAAGCCTTCCAGGGCAGAGTGGGGAAAAGGGCAAGTCCCCTCAGGGGAATGAGCTCAGTTGTTAGGACTCCGTCCAAGTTGGCCGTGTCCCTCGTGTCCTTGGGAATGAGATAACACAGAACCTAAGTCTCAGAGGTAAACAGCTCGAAGTGTGGGCACGACTCTTGTGCCCTCAGTGTCCGTTTGACCTTGATGGTGTGCGTGGTGCCCGCCCGGTACCTTGGAGCAGAGGTGTGGAAAGGCTTGGTGGCTTTCTGCTTTTCCTGAGTGACAGGCACACTGGGGCTGGGAAGTGTTCTGAAAAAGATTCACGGCAGCTACGCTCTCAGTTTTGAGAGAGAAAAGGCACTTTATTGAGAGTATAAAAATCTAGTAGGAACAGAAAGAAGAAAAGGGAAATTGTACATTGATGAGGGCATAGTAGTCAGTAAAGGAGAATCAGACAGAGTTACACTGGGTGCTTAAAACATCCAACCTCATTTGCTGGGGAGGCCCCGTGGAGACAGCCAGGCTGGAGTCCCGATAGAGCGGCCTAGGCCGAGCATCCTACCCGCGGGCGGGTGAGATTTCCATCTGACCATACCCGTAAGGGCTGTGTTTATAGGGCAACTGAAGTTAAACGTTTGTTCACCAATGTGCGGTTTGGAGCAAGCTGCATTCCTGTGCGCTTACGTCTCTGCGTGCTGGGTGCGCTTGCCGCTTCTCCCAGATTCCGTTCCAGGGGCCCAGCCCAGCCTGGTGCTGGAGGGGATGTAAGGCAGGATTTACAGCTCTTGTGTCCAGACCAGAAGGGCCACTTCTGACCCGACAGCCAGCTAATGTCCACTAATCAGGCTCCCAAGGTCACTTGTGCAGGAGTCTCACAAACAACATTCTTCTTCCCGCCTGGGCGTAAGCGCAGGTTGGCGGGTGGTGGCCAGCTTTGCAGGACAAATCCCAGAAAGTTCCATCCACACAGTCCAGGGGCGTGTGGAGCCCCAGCTCTTCTGGCAGTTGTGAAACAGGAGCAGAAGGCCAGTGTCCCCTGAATCTTCTCGGTTAACCACCCCACCTCAGAGGTGCCCAGTAGAGGCTGAACTCAGGGTCTCACACGGAATCCGACTGTCTAAAGTCTGCTGTCCCATAGCCTCGCGGACTTTTTTCAGTTATGGATCCTGTACTGAAGCTAAACTGCTTTGCACGTGCAGTAGTTAAGGTCGATGTGAGCAGAGCCAGTGTGTTTGAAAGGGGAGCCGGGGCCAGCCTCCCCTCTGCCTCTGTTGCCCTCCCCCGGCCACACATGGGAGGCCCAGGCACAGTGCGAACACAAGGCAGGAGTGAGCCCTGCAGCTCCACTCCAAGAAGGAGCTCCAGTTGGAGGCCCAGGAAGGCCTCAGCTGCCCTGGCCTAGGGACACTGATGCCAGCCATAGCCGGGCGGTTCTGGTGGAGGCTCCAGCTTTGACCAGCTCCTCCTCGTCCCAGAATGAATCGGATATCTTCAGCTGGGTGATTCGTCGTGAGTTCCAGGAGCTGCACCACCTGGTGGATGAGGAGAAGGCCCGCTGCCTGGAGGGGTTGGAAGGTCACACCCGCGGCCTCGTGGCCTCCCTGGACATGCAGCTAGAGCAGGCCCAGGGCACTCAGGAGCGGCTGGTCCAGGCCGAGCGCGTCCTGGAGCAGTTCAGTAATGAGAGTCACCACGAGTTCATCCGGGTGAGTGGACAAGGGAGTGTCCCCCATGCTGAGGCCCGCAGGTCCCAAGAGCTTCCCCCATGCCGTAACCCTTCTGTCTTGTCTTCCAGAAGTATCACTCCGTGGCCTCCAGGTAATAACCTCGGAGGGAGCTCTCAGCTTGGATCTGGTGGCTCCTCTCCGCGTACCGGGGTCTCGGCGGCAACTGCCCACCTAGGGCTCTGTCCTGAGCCCAGGGAACCCTGCCTTTAAGGCTCTCAGAGACCAATGGGCGGCAGATGGTGAACTGTGGTTGCATCGCTGTGGGTACCTAAAGCCATAGAAGCCCACACAAGCTACAGAAATAACAGGACAAGGTGACTGGGGTTGTGGGTGGGGGGAATTGGCAGAGCTGACGCACAGGTGGACAGGCTTGGGGCAGAGGACGGGTGCTGACCAGCAAGCAGAGTGGGGAAAGGTCACGTGAAAAGGTGAAGCAGGGTGTGGGGCTGGGATAAAACGTTTGCCTCGGGGCAGAACGGCAACGAATGGGAGAGGCGAGAGCCGGAAGGAGGGGCCACAAGTCCTGAACCATGGCTCCTGGGAAGGGATTGAACCCATGTTCCGGTCCCGAGAAATGAACAACCATGCAGTTCTTGGCCTTCCTCGGGCCCTGATTGTGAGAGTCTCCGTGGTTTTTCAAATGTCCTTCAGTCTTAAGGTGGGTCAGGAACGTTGGTGTAAATGAATGGACAGTGAAGCTGGTTGGGAGCAGGTGTGCGCTCCAGCTGTGGCTAGGGACCAGGGTTGTCCAGTGTAGGGAAGGTAGGGCAGTGGTCCTCAAATGTTAGTGTGCGTCAGGACCACCTGGAGGGCTCCAGGCGTCACTTTCTGATTCAGCAGCTCTGGGGTGGGACCTGAGAAGTTTGCATTTCTAGCAAGCCCCTAGGGGATGCTCCCGGTCTTGGGCCCGCGGGCCCTGATGTAGTGTTTCTCCTCCGGGGAAGGGGGCAGGTGCTCAGGGCGGGGTGGAGGAGAGGAAATGACCGGCATCTCAAGTGCACAGTCTGCCAAGCTGCGACTGGCTTGTTGGACTTGGGTAAGGGTGAAGGGGTGGGGTTGGCGTGCAGCTCCGCCATCATGGTGAACTGTCCCCCTCAGAGCAGAGCTCCAGCAGGCCCGGCCTCTGGACGGCACCTTCAGCCCCATCTCCTTCAAGCCAGGCCTCCACCAGGCTGACATCAAGCTGACCGTGTGGAAGAGGCTCTTCCGAAAGGTTCTGCCAGGTGAGGCTCCGTCTGTTCTCTCTGCTGAGGACTGCCCTGCAGGGGGCGTGCGGAAGACTGGAAGGGTATTTGCATGGGTTAGTGGTGAGAGCTTGGCTTTGGGGTTCCACCAGAAATGCTGGGTTCAAGCTCAGCTCCAACTCTTACTGGCTAAAGACAAGTTGTGTAATTTAAAAAAAAAAAATTAGAGATTTTATTAAAGGGCAAGCTCTCAAGTTGGGGGAGGGTAGAGGGAGAGCGAGAATCCCGAGCAGACGCCCTGCTGAGCGTGGAGCCTGACATGGGGCTTGATCTCACACCCTGAGACCATGACCTGAGCTGAAATCAGGAGTGGGACACTTAATGGGCTAAGCCAATCAGGCGCCCCTGGTGCACGCCCTTTTCCTCAACCAGAATGCCTCCCTCACAGCAGTCCATTTCTCCCACCCTTCAGGAATTGTTCATGCGCTCAGCAGACATCCTTAGGGTTGCGTCTTCTGTGCCTGGCCCCTTCCTAGAAGTGCGCTCAGACACCGGGGGGGTTGGCATTGCAGTTCCTCCCCTGAGGAGCTTGGGGCTTCCAGTCAGACGACTTTGTGGTGGCATATGCCGCCTTCTGTGTAGCTTGAGAATGCTTCTTTGATCTTTCTCAGCCCCAGAGTCCCTCAAGCTAGACCCTGCCACCGCCCACCCCCTCCTGGAACTCTCCAAGGGCAACACGGTGGTGCAGTGCGGCCTCCTGGCCCAGCGGCGGGCCAGCCAGCCGGAGCGCTTTGACTACAGTACGTGCGTCCTGGCCAGCCGGGGCTTCTCCTGGGGCCGCCACTACTGGGAGGTCGTGGTGGGCAACAAGAGCGACTGGCGCCTGGGGGTCATCAAGGGCACGGCGAGTCGCAAGGGCAAGCTGAGCAAGTCCCCGGAGAACGGCGTGTGGCTCATCGGCCTGAAGGAGGGCCGCGTGTATGAGGCCTTCGGCTGCCCCCGGGTGCCCCTGCCTGTGGCCGGCCACCCGCACCGCATCGGCGTCTACTTGCACTACGAACGAGGGGAGCTCACCTTCTTCGATGCTGACCGCCCCGACGACCTGCGGCTGCTCTACACGTTCCAGGCTGACTTCCAGGGCAAACTCTACCCCATCCTGGACACGTGCTGGCACGAAAGGGGCAGCAACACCCTCCCGATGGTGCTGTCCCCGCCCAGCGGGCCTGCCCACCTCGGCCTCCCGCAGCCCACCAAGCTGTAGGGCTGCTGGTGGGTCTGCTGGGTTCAGCCAGCCCGGACGACATTCTTTACTGTTTGGAAAAGTCTTCCTGCCTGTTGTTCTTGGAAACATCTCATGATAAGAAGAAAAGGACCCCAATTCCTTCCTTGTCAGCCAGGGGTGCATTTATTAACCTTTTTGCCGGATTCTTCACCTGCTTACTAACCAGCAGAATCAGGCTGTGGCGTCTGTGGGTTAAGCTCGGCTTCGCTTGGTCCCTCCTGACCACGCCTTCTGCTCAGTGCTCTTTCAACAGAAGGTGGAAACGTTCCCATATCTCATTTCTCTTTGTCATCATGAACTTAAGGATATTGTGACCTTCTCTTTCTCTTGAAATGATTTGCAAATATTAAGTGCTCTGCGCACATACTAGTTTATGCTCAGGTCTTTAAAATCAGCTCCAGCCTCTGGTCAGCCGGAAGTCCCCTCTACCCTGGGCCAGCTGGTCTGTGGTTGGTCACATCAGTCACCCCGTTACTGCTGTCTTCAAATACCTCTGCTGATCTCCCTCTCCCCTCTCCATTAGTTGAGAGGGAAATAACACTTCAGGGCAGAAGCAAGTAGGGTCCTGGGGGGTGTGGCCTATCGCCAAAAGCTCCCATGGGCACATGGGAGCCGGCCCAGAGCCCCCATCAGTTCATGGCCGCAGCTGATGGTGCCCACTCCAGACCAAAGCTGGGACAGCTGAGTTCTCTCCCAAGAATCTGGAAGTTGGAAGAGTCCTACAACTCCGCTGGGCTAAGTCATCTGAGACCTGGTGCTTTAGAGAAGTTCTAAGCCTTGTGCCACTGAGCTCTGTGGAGCTGCCTGGGCGACTTCCCTGGGGAACCGCTCTGTCCTTGGGCCCTGGCGCTTACCCACGTGGGCCACACAGGCAGAGGCCTGACCTGCAGCCTGAGTGATCCTCTGGGAACCTGGGAGGATGGGAGGTTTGGGAGGCACTGACTTCATCCCATGGGGGACCATCCGCAGAGGTCGCCTTCCAGGCTCTGATAAGTGTGAAACTTCCTGTGCCACCTCCCTCTGGGTAGAGCTGTAGACGGATCGTAAAACTGCTTAACTGCGTCTGGAACGGGCTTCTCAGCCACGGGAAGTCCCCACGCCCTGCCGTAGTCCTCCTGTTGTGGGCACCAGGGACTACGTGGAGCTGGCACATTTGGCTAACCTGCCTATGGAAGTAAGAAACTGTCTGAATTAAAAGGTGCTTGTATAGCTTTACTGGCTGAATCTGTTGGGCCTTGGCCTTGGTAGTTGCTGTTCAACACCTTGGGCGGTGGTGGCTGACACCTTGCGGAGCTGGTTTTCGGCTGTGCAGCTCTTCAATTCCATGACCTGGCTGAAGGTCACGGCCCTGTATGTCCACTCTCCCTCCCCGCTCCTGGGAGACTGGCCCCAATGGAATCAAAACCCTCTGGCTTCCTGTTGGGTTCAGGGGAGGGGAGGGACTGGCAGGAGATCCAAGGGCAGGAAAGGGAGTTCGAGGCGCTTGTTTTTCGGGTTTCCTGCCTGCTGGGCTGTGGGCTGGCGGCTTTCCTCGCCTAAGGGTCCTTGGCAGGTGGCTCCTTCCTCTGTTGCTCCTCCTGTTCCTGCAGGCCTGGCAGTGAGCGGTGCTGTCTGTCCCCGGCCCTGAGTACAGCGTCACCTCTAGTTTCCTTCAACTCCGACCATCCTTCTGTAAAGACCCCCTAAGTTCACCTCAGCCACGCTGCGCGCTCGCCTCTGCCCCCGGATGCCGAAGACACCGTGGTGTACCTGTGCGCTCACCAGTAACTCCCGCCGTGTGTTTCGCTGCCCGGAGGTCCGTGTTTGTGCTTGGAACCAGGAGATCCATGCAATACGGAGAAGGCAGACGGGAGAGCAGTCCCCTCGTTATGAGGACTGGCATGTCAGCTGAAAGAAGTGGAAATGGAGCAGAGGAGAAGAGCTTTGGGGCGTCCAGTCCAGGGAGGGATGCTGCCGCCGGCCGGAGGGCCGTGGGTGCGGCTCTAGAGCACATGACCTGTTCTGTAGTAATGACAGCGTGGGAGCGCGAGGGCCGCTCGGGGAGAAAACTAGCTGGCGGGGAGGAGGTCGGAGACGGACAGCAGAGCCGAAGCAGCTTAGAGCAGGTTTGCCAACGGAACGTAGAAGCGAACCGGAAGGGTGTGCCGGTGGCGGAGGGGACGGAAGCCGGAGCGCCACAGCAGAGGAGCTGTGCCCCACGGTGCCGCGACGCCCCAGCCTGAGCAGGCGAGACCTGAGGAGTATTTGGAGATTCTTGGTGGCTTTGGAGGAAGCCGTGTCTGTGGACTAGTCTGGGAGACGGACTGCAGGGAGATAGGCAGCACGTGAGGAAGAAGGGAAGGCGGTCACTGCTGATTTTGTTTTAAGCCGCTGGATGGAGACGGGGAGAAAACGGAGTCAGTAGTTTGAGATAAGGGGGATTAAGAGAAGACATTTTTAGGGTAGAGGAGGCTAAAACGGTTGTTCTACAGACATACACACGAGCCACGTATGTAGGTTGAAGTTTTCCTAGTGGTCACGTCTTAGACGTTAAAAGGCACAGGTCACCTAGCGTCCACATCGTGGCTTCTAATAGCCATTCACCAATGGAGAGGAACCAGGGCTCCTTGGAGAAATGGCTGGTTCTAGGACTGGGGCAGGAAACATGCTAAGCTGTGAGCTGCTGGCAGTGCCGGGAAGCGCTCACAAACAAGGGTGTGAAAAACCCTACACTAAGGCCTTTCAGAGGGACACGGGAGCCAACTGAAAGCACTCCCAGTGGCCAAAATGGGAAAAAGTTGAGCAACAGAATAAAATGGTACGTGTTTCCCCACTGTCAGTAGGTAGAGTTTCTGTGCAATTTACTTCATACTTTGTCTTTCGCTGACGTGGAGGAATAAGCAGCGATTACCATTACTTTATATGGAAATATTTAACATTCCCAGACACCCCAAATTAACTGCTTTTAAGCTTCTCTTACCTTCCACTACGTCTTGCGAGTGGATGCACACGGTCGATCAAGGTAAAGCACAGTTGAGAGCTATGGAGGCCGATGCTGAGAGGTGGAGGGCAGAGGGCTGGGCAGCCCCTCTCTCCCAGCGTGGGGTGCGTGCTGCCTCTGTGGGGGCTTGTGGCAAGACCGTACTATTTTTACTTTTCCCCTTTTTCAATAAAGTGAAAATTCTCTTAGGCTTTCTTTCAGTTAGAGAAAACAGGTACTACTGTAGGTCTTTCGTAAAATGAAGTGCTGTTAATGCAAACTTTCAAAAAGTGGGGGATGGGGCGCCTGGGTGGCTCAGTCAGTTGAGCATCAAACTCTTGATCTCAGCTCAGGTCTTGATCTCAGGGTGGTGAAATCAGCCCCGCACGGGGCTCCATGCTGGGTGTGGAACATACTTTAAAAAGAGCAGGGGAGGGGCGCCTGGGTGGCTCAGTGGGTTAAAGCCTCTGCCTTCGGCTCAGGTCGTGATCTCAGGGTCCTGGGATGGAGCCCCGCATCGGGCTCTCTGCTTCGCGGGGAGCCTGCTTCCCTTCCTCTCTCTGCCTGCCTCTCTGCCTACCTGTGATCTCTGTCTGTCAAATAAATAGAATCTTAAAAAGCAAGCAAGCAGGGGATTCCTGTACTGAATTACAACTCAAATTATGAAGTAAATATCCATGAGTCCATAATGATAAGTGGCTAATTAAATAAAGCTGGGAGAAGAGAGAATTCTGCAGAATTCCAAATATTTATGTAGCTACTTTGCCCTCAGAAAGGGAGAGTGTAACTTCCTACTCCTTAAAGGGCGGGTTGTGCATAGTGACTCCTTCCCAGAGGGAACAGAGGGATAAAGACTAGTTTACAGTGGAGAAAGATGAAGAACTACCTTAGCCAGGTGATCAAGGTTAGCATCAACAGTCAAGGTCATGCTCATACTATATGCCCTTGATGTGATCTGATGAGGATGGTACATTACCTGTAGTCTTCCAAAAACTCATTAAGCCAATCTGGTCACGAGAAAAAAATCAGACAAATCCCATTGAAGAGACATTCTACAAAACACTGACCAGGATTCCTCAAAACCATCAAGGTCATCAAAAACCAGGAAAGTCTGAGAAATCGTCACAGCCAAGGAGATATGACACCTGAATTTAACGTGGCGTCTTAAGATGGGACTGAAGAACAGAAAATAGTCATTAGGTAAAAGCCAAGAAAATCTGAATCCTCTATGGACTTTATTAATATTGATGCACTTGTTAACCATTCACCCAAAGGAGTGGGGATTGGGATTGTTTTAGGGTGGATTACGTGGCACAGCTGGCTGTCCGGCTGTCCACGCCAGTTTGTGCACCACTCATTCCCTCCTTCCATCACGCGGCAGATGCTAGGTCCTTACTGCGAGGAGAACACTGGTTTGGGAGGTACAGATAGATGAGGGTCAAAAAGGATCTGCCCTCGTGGAGCCAGCTAGAGAAAAAATCATGACTGCGGCTGGAACAGATGCTATGAAGAAAACAAAATAGATGTTATTCAGTTGGGAGTGGGGTTTCCACTCAAAGATCACTATTAACCCACCTAAAGCTACAGGACTGGGTGAAACGTTTAAACAACTCAATAATTTGGATGTAGACTAGAGTCAACCCCCTTGCAAAATGCTGACGTGCTGTTGGTGATACAGAGAATGCACAGGCAGGTGTATTCTGGCCTATGGAGGCCTGTCCACTCGAATGCTTGAGATACTCATGTATTGAATTGATTCAATCAAATTAATGTGTACCAGTAATCCCATGGGTGCTGAGGACAGAAGCAAATCCTACAAAATCCCTGTACTCCCAGGGATCAGCTGGGGAAACTACTGTACAGGAATTACTACAACGCACAGAAAGCCCACCATGTGGAAACAAAGTGCTCTTCCTCACATCATGTGCCAAACAATTCTAAATGGTTAAAGATTTAAGTGTGGGGGATGAAGCCATAGTGATTGCTGTATTGTAAAGGTGTGAAGAAGCGGTTCCAAATATGACATCAAAGGCAGAAACCACATTTTTTAAAAAAATGAAAACCGGCCCCAAACTATAAACATTAAAAAACAACAGTAGGAGTGTCTGGGTGGCTCAGTGGGTTAAGCCTCTGCCTTCCGCTTCGGTCACGATCTCAGGGTCCTGGGATCGAGCCCCGGTCCGGCTCTCTGCTCAGCTGGGAGCCTGCCCCCCCCCCCCCCCCCCCCCCGCCCCCCACCCACCTGCTAACACACCCCCCCCAAACAAAAAAAACTTAAAAAAAGCTTAAAAAGTGTTTAAAAAAAAAAAAAACAACAGTAAACTGTAAAAAATATACCTAAGACGAGGTATATATTGTTAATATACAAAGGACACAGAAATGGAGGGAGTGACCAAGAGACACCAACGTAACACAAAGGATCAATAAACACAATATCAACCTCTATAACAAAACAGCAGGGAAGCCCCATCGCCTGTTGGACTGACGAAGATCGGAAAAAAAAGAGAAGCGGTGCGAAGAGGGGGAAGTCGCTCTCCCAGCGCTTCACCTCACGCGCGGCTCGGGAGTCCTAGAAGGGCACGGGGGTTTCCGGGTCTGAACTCCGCGCCCTTTGACCCGGAAGTGCGGGGCGGGCGGGGCGGTGCCAAGGCGAGGGCGCCTCGCGACGCAGCCGCAAAGGCGCGTGGGAGCGCAGCATGGCGCTGTACGCGACGGCGGCGACGGTGCTGGCAGCCGTGGAGGGCCGACGGGGCTCCATCAAGGGGCTGGTGTACGCCAGCCGCTTCCAGGTAGCGGGGCTCGGGGTTCGGGGGTTCGGGCCCGGCGGGGGGCGAGAAGGGGGCCCCTGCCTCAGCCGGTGTCCTCTCGGCCGCGCGCAGAACGTCAAGCAGCTGTACGCGCTGGTGTGCGAGACGCAGCGCTACTCCGCCGTGCTGGACGCCGTGATCGCCGGCGCCGGCCTCCTCCGCGCGGAGAAGAAGCTGCGGCCGCACCTGGCCAAGGTAGCGGGGCTGGGGGGGGGGGGGGGGCGGGGGGGGGGGGGCCGGGCTGCGAGCCCCCCCGGACCCGGCGTCAGCGCCGCACGGTGGCCTCTGTCAGACGCGCGCGAGCATCTGTAGCCGCCGGGTCGCTGAGGCGGGGTGAGCGAGCTGTACCTCCGAGCCCAGCGTGAAGGGTAAAGACGGGAAATGCTAAGTAGCCGCGGCGGGGACTCTGGCTAAAACACAAGGGTGGTGGTGACGAGGAGGAGGGTCGAAGGTGAGCAGCCCTGGGGAGAGGGTTCGGGACCGGGTTCGGGACCGGGAAGCTGGACACCGGGCTGGGCTCCCCGGTCTGCCGCTCATCTGCCCTGTGGTCTTGGGCAGAACACCTCGCTGGGACCCGGTGCTGCCTCGGCAAGTGGTCGCCCAGCGCTGTGACGTTCCGAGACGCGCACACTGAGGGCTGTCCCTCGTTCTTTCCCCATCCCCAGGTGCTCGTGTACGAGCTGCTGCTGGGGAAGGGCTTTAGGGGGGGCGGGGGCCGCTGGAGACCTCTGCTGGAGCGGCACCAGGCCAGGCTGAAAGCCGAGTTGGCGCGGCTCAAGGTTCAGCGCCGGGTGAGCCGCAACGAGGACCTGTTGCAAGTGGGAGCCAGGCCTGGCACGGGTGAGCTGGACGGCGTTGCGGGCAGGAGGGCGGCTCCCAGGCCCCCAGAGGAGAGGGCCTCTGTCCTGCCCATTCACCGCCGATCGCTTCCTAGCCTCGCAGGTGCCTCGGTTCGTGCGTGTGAACACCCTCAAGACCAGCCCTGATGATGCAGTTGATTATTTCAAGAGACAAGGTTTCTCCTACCAGGGTCGGGCTTCCAGGTGAGCTGAGAACCCTGCCTGGCTGCTGGGGGCTCTGGGAAACGGGGATCCAGGGGAAGAGAGAGGAGGGGTGGTGGTGACGGCTCTCTGGTTTTCTCCTACTTTTCCAGCAATTTCTCTCTCTCCTTCCAAGGCCTGGCTTTCTCCAGACCTTAACTTAAGATCCTGTTTATTCAGAATTCACGACTTAAGAGAAATCCTTCCGAAACCATGTGCTTATTAAACACACATTGTTGACTTATACTGCAAAATAATTACTACCTAGTTAACATTCGTCACCACGTATAATACAGAAAGTTTTTTTCTCTTGTGATGAGAAAAAAGAGTAGGAGGGAGAGGGAGAGCGAGACTCTCAAGCGGGCTTTGTACCTAGTGTGCTGAAGCAGGGCTTGGCTGTCTCAGGCCTCTGCGATGACCTGAGCCCACATCAAGAGTCAGAAGACATGTCACTGACTGAGCCACCCAGGTCCCCCCTCTTGTGATGAGAACGTTTTAAGATCTCTTCGCATCTTTCAGGTACGCAGTGCAGTAGCTCTTAGCGTCACCCACTGTGCCGTACATTAGAGCCCTGGGACTTACGTATCTTACAGCTGGAAGTTTGTGCTTTTGACAAACTTTGGAACTCCCCCTCCCTGCGGTCACAAATCCGCTCTGTATTTATGAGTTGGTTTTTTGTTTTTTTAAAGAGATTCCACATATGAGTCAGAACATACAGTGTTTGTCTTTGATTTATTTCACTCAGCGTAAGATCCTCAGGGCCCATCCATGTGATCGCAGACGGCAGGATTTTATATTTTGTGGCTGAAAAATATTCCCGTGTGCGTGTACACGTGTGTACACACACACACACACACACACACGTGTACGTAGTTACATGTTTTCTTTATTCATCTAACGGTTGACATTTAGGGTTTTCCAGGTCTTGGTGACTATACATCTGTAGCAAACAGGGGCCGGGTATCTTTCCGAATTAGTGTTTTCCTTTTCCTTGGATTAATACCTAGAAATGGGATTGCTGGATCATACGGTAGGCTCCAGCTCTGAACTTGTACTGAGCCTCTGTGCTGTTTTCCACAGTGGCCGTGCCAGTCCTCGTCACCCCCAGTGGTGCAGGGGGCTTCCCTGATTCCCATATCCTCACCGACAGCTGTTTCTTGTCTTTTGGGTAATAGCCGTTCTGACAGGTGGGAGGTGACATCTTGTCGTGGTTTCGATGCTCGTTTCCCTCATGACTCATGATGGTCACCTTTTCGCATACTTGTTGGCCATCCGTCTTTGTCCAGTGTCCTTCTTTTGCTCGTGGCCTCCATTTTCCTGACCCCATTATTGAAGAGACTGTTTGTTCCCTGTTGTATATTCGTGGCTCCTTTGTCACAAACTAATCGGCCGGACAAGAATGGGCTTGTTGTTGGGCCCTCTGTTCTGTTGCATTGATCTGCGTGTGTGATGTCTGCAGCTTTGTAATGTCGTTTGAAATCAGTGTGAGGTCTGTAGCTTTGTGCTTTCTTAAGACGGCCTGGCTGTTCCGTTCCATACAAATCTTAGGATTGTTCTGTACCTGTAAAATGGCCATTAGAATTTGGTAAGAGGTTGCACTGGCTCTGTAAATTGCTTCGGGTAGTGTGGACCTTCTGACGACATTCTTCCACTCCATGAGTGTGGAACAGCTTCTCGTTCGCGTCATTTTCAGTTTCTTTCCTCGGTATCTTAGTTTTCAGAGTACAGGTCTTTGATCTCCTTGGTTGAATTTATTTCTAGTTTTTTTTGGGTTTTTGGGGGGATACGAGTGTAAATGAGATTGTTTTCTTAATTTCTTTTTTCTGATAACATTGGTTTGCAAACTCCCTGGGAGCCTTCCAGGTATAATCTGAAACCAGGCCCCATACGCACGGGGCAGGGCCAGAGAAGGAACGAAGAAAGAGGCGGGCTGGTCCAGATGGACATGTGGCAGGGTTAGTAATAAGGGAGCTTCATACAAGGCTTGCCTTGGGAAGCCAGAAGACGAGTAGATCCCTGCACCCCGCCCCCCCCAGAATCTTAAAAATAGTTCTGGAGAGAACTTAACTGGGTTCAGTCGCATGGAGGCCCATGTTGGGGGGTACCGTGGGTTCGGTTCCAGAATGCTGCAATGAAACAAGTCGGATGAATTTCTTGGCTTCCCAGTGGCCATGAAAGATAGGTTTATTTTATAGTGTAGTCTACGAAGTGTACAGGAGCGTTATGTCTGAAAAGACAACTTATGTATTTTATTACTAAAAAATGCTAAACATCACCTGAACCTTTGGTGAGTCAGCATCACTGATCAGAGGTCACCGTAACAAACACTGTATTCATGAAAAAGTTTGGAATATTGTGAGGATTATCAAAATGTGACCCAGAGACAAGGGAGCAGATAGTGCAGGGAAAATGGGGCTTTCGGTTTGTAAAACAAAACAAAAACGCAACAAAACCTCACTATCTGCGAAGCGTTGCCAGTAGAGCAAAATGCGGTCCCTATGATCTCAACACCACGTCACTGTCTCAGGGCTTTGTCTGTGGTGGGGAAGGCAAGTGGGATGCACATTCCAAAGACAGGGAGGGATCGAGCCCCACATCGGGCTCTCTGCTCCACAGGGAGCCTGCTTCCCTTCCTCCCTCTCTCTGCCTGCCTCTCTGCCTACTTGTGATCTCTGTCTGTCAAATAAGTAAATAAAATCTTTAAAAAAAAAAAACAAAAAAAAAAACAAAGACAGGGAAAGGGGTGAGGAGCCGCCTCCGTTTGCCGGGTCCAGCTTGGCGGGTCAGCTGGCAGGCCCGTGCTCTCAGTGACCTCCCCAACACTCTAACCCTTGTGACCAGCTCTAAAATCCCAGATGACCCTGTTTTCTGCCATGTGTCCTGAGTGCTCAGCAGGGGTTTCACTAGCACGGAGGTGGATGGCCGCATTAGGGGCGGGTCCCAGTTCTTGCTGGGACACATGCAGGAGAAAACAGATTAAGACTACAATTTCCCAGGGGCGCCTGGGTGGCTCATTACGGGTCTGCCTTCAGCTCGGGTAGTTCAGGATCCCGGGGTCGAGCCCCGCATCAGGCTTCGGGCTCAGTGGGGAGCCTGCTTCTCCCTCTGCCTCTGCCCTCTCCCCAGCTCATGTGCTCTCTCTCAGATAAATTCATTCTTTTTCTTTTTTTTTTTAAAAGATTTATTTATTTGACAGAGATCACAAGTAGGCAGAGAGGCAGGCAGAGAGAGAGGAGGGAGCAGGCGCCCCGCTGAGCAGAGAGCCCGATGCGGGGCTCGATCCCAGGACCCTGAGGTCATGATCTGAGCCGAAGGCAGAGACTCAACCCACTGAGCCACCCAGGCGCCCCAGATAAATAAATTCCTAAAAAAAAAAAAACAACCCCCCCTCGAAATTCCCTAAATCAGTGGTAACACCCCTCAGCACCCCCAGATCCAAACTGTTGATTTATTAATATCCCCCAGGCTGGAGGCGCCATTGCTCAGGCCATGACTCGAGTCCTTGTGTGATTTAATAAATGGCACGAGAGCGGACTCGTCAGGTATAAACACAGGTGCCGCCTTGTGAAGCCGGAGTCACGCCCAAGTGCGTCCTGCTGGGGAGGACGGCTTTCCGGCTTTCCTTATAGACCGTTCGGGGTTCGGAAGGGCGGGCCCCTCGCCGTGAGCCGGGGGAATGTAGCAGGGGCTCCCGTGGGTGCTCCGTGTTCGCCGTCCCGTGCAGGGAACAGGTGCCAAGTGACGGTATCAGGAGACAGATGGCCACTGCTCTCCGGCCCGGAGGAGAGGAGGCCGGCAGCTTCCCTTCCACGTTGGCGGGGGGAGGCAGCACTGCCGGGTGTGAGGAGAGGGGAGCAGAACATGCCAGACCGGGACCCCCACCTTCTCCCGCTTCCGGAGCGCGCGTGCCGCCCCAGGTGGAGCGGTTTCTGCAGGGGCGGCTGGATCCCGCAGGAGAAGCAGCCGCTCCCCCGGCGCAGGGTTGGGAGGTCCCATCCCAGCGCGCATTTCCCGGCGCAGGGGAGCCTGGCGTTCTCAGCAGCGCAGCGCGTGGCCGGCGGGGAGAGGGTGGCGGCTCTTCCCTGCACGGAGTTGCCCGGGCGGGGGTCCCCAGTCTGGCCCGCAGAGCGGCAGGCCCCGATTCGTTTGGGTGTGTGACAGCCTGGGACAGCGCTTGGTCCCACTAGCCAGGGAGCTTGGACCCGAATAACGGCATCCGCTCTCGGATCCTGTCTCCTGTCTGCTGGGCCGGCTGCTTGCGGGTCGGGTGACGGGTCCCGCATTCGGAGTCGTGTCCTTCTGTGCACTTGCGCATCGGGACTGTTGCGGCGTGACCCCCGTCGCGGTCTAGTACACTTACGAAGGCTCTTTTCAGGTGGGGCCGAGGCGGTCACCACCTGCGCCGAGGATGGCTGAGTGCTCGCTGGGGAGGGAGGGGCCGGTCTGGTGGCCTTGCCAGCTGCCTTGGGCGGGACTGAGAACACCTGGGCCCCGGTACTGAGTTAACCCGTCCCTGTATCTCCAGGGAGTTCTGGCTTCCTTGGCAGGTGCCCTCCCGTCGGGGCGCAGCGGCGGGCCCGCGTCTGTGCACCGAGTCGCCGCCGCCCGGAGCTCGTTGGGGCTGGCCCGGGAACCAGACTGTCGTCCGCTTCCTGCCCGCTGGGTGGGGTTGTGCTGCTGTGGGAGCCCCAACGTGGAACCCGGTGAACCCCCCGTCTTTTCATATATCCTGACCCCGCAAGGGCTCATTCACGATCTACCCCTCTGCTTTTCCACTGTCCGCGCCACAGGGGGGACCCCTTAGAGCCACCCGCGGTGTGCATGGGGGGCTGGGGCTGGGGAGTGATCACCGGCCAGAACGTTCTGCTGCGGCCGTGGCCGCCACGGTGCTGCTCCCGCAGGGGCTGTCCCCGGGGCATCGTGGCGCACACGACTGGAAGCTGTTGCTTTCTGGTGGGGAAACCTGGTGTCTTTCTCCCTCCAGAGCTGGGAAGCAGAGCCCCAGGGGTGCGCTCCCCTTCTGCCGTCGCTGCCACAGCGCGCAGCCCCAGCGGCTGTCCGGCTCGAGCCGCCGGAGCTGTCGTCCGTTTCCCTGGTGTTTTGCCTTCTCAGGCAGCTCCGTGACCCCCGCAGGAGTCAGGGACAGAGGCGCTGCGCCAGGTGGGGACACGGAGTCCTCCAGAGCCCTCTCCAGGATCGCACACCTGCTCCTCATTCTTAGGGGCTGGATGAACGTGCACCTCACCCGTCCGTCACGGCGTCTGGAACGGGGTGTGTCTTAGCCGGTGAAATGACGCCCACACACCCTCAGGGCAGTGTCTGGGCCTTGAATTTTCTGGGGGTCACTGCCCAACCTCTCACGCACGCGCAGCAAAGCCTGCGGGACGGCCTGCGACACGCACGTCTTCCACGTGAGCGCTAGGGTGTGAGTGCGACGGCCCATCCTCCTGGTGTGGGAAGGGTGACAGCGACAGCGCTCCAGCTGCCTTCCCTTGACCTATGCTGCGCCGTGTGCTCGGAAGGTCCCCTGCTGCCCCTCCCATGTGAAGGCAACCGGTCTTGTGCGCAGTGGCCAGGGGGACACGGTGGAGTCACATGCTGAGAGCGGCATGGCACGGCATCCTCCCCGGACCGTGGCCTCGGTGTCTGAGACGGTGGCAGCATTGGGCACAGCGTGCGCAGGGGGCCCGCTGCCTTGTTCGGTTCTGGGTGCTCTGCTGTCACCCCCAGGAGCCGGGACGTGCATCTGTGGGCTCTAGTGGGCTGTGGGAAGCGCCGGGCTGGGGCGTGCGGTGCCCACTCAGTGTCGCTCTTAGAGGGTTTCTCCTCTGTCCCTGTGCCTGGAGTATTGTCTGGTCCTCCGCGGGGGTGGCAGTCTCGTTTGCCCACGCGTCTGATCAGCCTTCAGGTGGGATTCACGCGTACGCGGTCGAGCTGGTAGGCGGCCGGACCCGGGGTGTTCCCTAGTCCTGGGGAGGGAGACCCCCGTGTCCTCGGGCAGGCGGAGGGTGCCCAGTTGGCGTCGTCGCTCAGGTTTTAAGGCTTTCTACAGGCTGATCGCTGCGGGGCCACAGCAGTGAGGTCAAGTCCTCGTGCCTCCAGGTTACTTTCTCCAGACCCTTCCCGGTCGGGTGGGGGTGGCCTTTTGAGCTCCGCCTCGGTCCCGGCTCTGGGCCGCAGCACCCCGAACGTCGTGTTGCCCAGGTGGGCTCACGTGCCCGTGAGCAGCCCGTGCCCCGTGCTGGGGGCCGCCTGGGGCTGGCTCCTTCCTGCTGGGACGTGGCCCCGTCGGCCTCCAGAGAGCCGCGTGCACATGGCCCGTCTCACTCCCAGCTCCCTAAGAATTTGTTGTACTTCTGTATAGATTCCCGGGGTCCCACGTGCCCAGGAAGGCCCCCCTCATTGGGCCAAGGCCCCCTGCGGGCTGGAATAATCCAGTATCCGAGGACATAAGTCCCCGAACGTGTACAAGTGCGCCACTCGGCCTCGGGGCAGGGTGTGTGGGGCTGAGGCTCATTCTGTCACCTTCCGCGCAGCGGGGAGAAGCCGTCAGCAGCCCGTCGCTGCCCTGGGGGCGCCCCCAGCTTTTAGCTGGAACTTGGCAGCCGCGTCCACAAGCTGAGGGAGGAGACCCTCTCTTCCGAGAGTTTCCCGAGCTGGGGGGCCGCCCTGCTGGCCAGGGTGGCCCCGCCGCCGGGTGCCGCAGCAGCTTGGCCGTCTGCCAGCACAGCCCCCCCCCCCCCCGGCTTCGCTCTGCGGCAGGGGCCACCGTGTAGTTTCTCCAGTGAGTCCATTAAAGCGGCCTACGCTGTCGGGGTCCCCCCATACTCACGCAGGGGTCCCCAAGCATCTGACGTAGGGGCCACCCCGCACCACACGGAGACCGCTAGCCGGTTCGGGACCCCTGCAGACCGTGTGCTCGGGTCTCCCGGCTGCCTCCCCCGTGGTTGCGGGTGATCCGGACGCGCCCTGCGGTGCGGCGCCGGGGACAGGCTCCCTGAGCAAGGGCGCTCAGCTGGGAGGCGTGTCCACGCCCACCTGCCAGAATCTTCCCAGTTGATACGAGGCCTTCACGGGTCCTGTCTCCTGCCTTCCAGATGGTCTCCGCGCCCTGTCACTCTCTCAAGGCCCTGTCCTTGGGCAGGCTCTGGGAGTGGGGAAGGCAGGCAGGACGCACGTCCCAGGGACGGGGTGCGGGAGGAGCTGGATTGCCCAGGTCCCGTGCCCGGCAGTGGCCGCGTCATCTCCGTGACCGCCCAGTAGTTAGGTGTCTGTGCGTAAGAGACACAACAGACTTGTCCGTGGGCTTTCGGTCCTGCTTTACCAAACCCGCTTAGAAGTTCCGACCGTTCTCTGGCCGGCGTTTCCCGTGCCTGCCATCTGCGTGCTGGGGTCTCCTTCCCTCCTTTGCGGTTTGGGTGCCGACTGGGTTGTTGAGTAAAGGGGACACGAGGGGGCATCCTTGTCCTGTTCTCGACCCCAGAGGAAGGGCTTTCAGGTGTTCACCCCCGAGTAGGGTGGCCGCGGGCTTTTCCCACGTGGCCTGCGTTGTGTTGAGTTTGTGCCCTCGGCACCTGCTTTGCGGAGTTTTTGTCATGAGTGGACGTGGACTCTTGTCAGAGGAGACCATCAGGATCTCCGTCCTTCATTGCGTGGATGTGGGACCGGGTATGTAGGTCTGCAGGTGTGGCGCGTCCCACGTCCCTGCGCTTCGCGCCTCCAGCATCCCCTCGTCAGCCAGGCCAGCAGCCGAACCCCCGTCGCGCTGTACCTTTCTGTCCTCCTGGACCCTGCGTGTCATTTTCTATTTTCACGGGCAGGACCTCCCGAACGGGTCTCCCCACTACTGGACTTCAGCTGTGCTTGGCTGTAGAAGGCTCCCAGCCGAAGGCCCTTTCTGGGCTCCTGGGCCGTACCCCCTGCTTCTGTCCCCAGGCGGGTGCTCCCAGGCACCCCCCACCTCCTGGGGGCTTGACAGCTCTGGGAAGTGCCTCTGCTCCCTCCCTGTCCCCTCCTGCCTGCGGCCTGCTGCTGGGAGGCCAGGGTGGTGTGGCAGGAAACGTAGGGAAGCTTGGGTTTGGCTTCGGCTCTGCCCCCGGATAGGGCGTGCGCTGCGCTTCTTCAGGTGTGGGGAGCGGGGCTTCCACCCGCGCCCCTCACGTGCGGCGCCCCCTGCCCCCTCCCCCCAAGGTGGGTGTTTAACTGCTGGCGTTTCTGGGGCGCTTGGATGGCCCAGTGGCCTAAGCCACTGCTTTTGGCTTGGGTCATGGTCTCGGGGTCCTGGGATCGAGCCCCACATCAGGCTTTCAGCAGAGAGCCTGCTTCCACCTCTGTCTCTGCCCATCTCTCTGCCTACTTGTGATCTCTGTCAAATAAATAAAATCTTTAAAAAAAAAAAAAGCGTGACCGCTTCCCAGAAGTAGGAGGGGGTGGACGGAAGGCACCTGCCCCCGTGCCCCCCGCTGGAAGGTGGTGGAGATGGGACCCTGGGCCAGGGCTGGCCCGAGCGCCCACGCGCTCCCTTACCTGCTGCCTCCGTCACCAGCCGGCCGTTTCTCCGCAGCAGTCCGCGGCATCTGTCGCGTGAGCGAGCACTTCACGTGAGGTCACGCGTAGAAGGTCCAGCCCGGTGCTCGGCCGGGGGGACTCAGAACGTTCCATGCTTCTTGTGCCCTGGCAGCCTCGGGGAGCTGCGGGCCCTCAAAGGGAAGTGCTTTCTCCTGGACCCCTTGTTGCCAGAGCTGCTGGTGTTCCCGGCCCAGACGGATCTGCACGACCACCCCCTGTACCGGGCGGGTCACCTCATCCTGCAGGACAAGGTGGGGCAGGTGGATGGGAAGGGGGCACGTGCGTGGGTCGGACGGCGTGGGGTCCCCATGCGCCAGCGCCTCGCTCTGCCCCCCAGGCCAGCTGCCTCCCGGCCATGCTGCTGGCCCCTCCCCCGGGCTCACACGTCCTCGACGCCTGCGCCGCCCCAGGCAACAAGACCAGTCACTTGGCCGCTCTGCTCAGGAACCAGGGGTGAGTACCACGGCCAGCAGAGGGAATGGCGTCCTTGGGAAGTGCGAACTCTGTGTTCCAAGCAGGGCGTGAAGGCTGAGAGGACCTTCCTCTGAAAAATCCCGTGTGGACCTGGAGCGGTGGGTAGGGGCCCCACGCCCAGCTTCCCGTGGGGCGCTGCTGTGAGATCGGAAGCCCCCGCTCAGGTCCGCTGACCAGACACGGTCCCGTGTCCTGAGTGGACGTGTCCTTGCATGTCACATCTGTGGGCCCTTGGGCGCCTGGTGATTCGCTGCAGCTGTCCCCTGCCCCCAGGAAGATCTTTGCCTTTGACCGGGACGCTGGGCGGCTGGCGTCCATGGCTACCCTGCTGGCCCGGGCTGGAGTCTCGTGCTGCGAGCTGGCGGAGGAGGACTTCCTGGCGGTCTCACCCTCCGACCAGCGCTACCGTCAGGTCCAGTACATCTTGCTGGACCCTTCTTGTAGCGGCTCAGGTGAGATGGGGACAGAGGGTGTCTGAGGGACCTGCGGCCCTGGGGTTCCCGCTGGCCTCCGGTTTAGCTCGGACTGTCCTCATCTGGCGACCCGGGCCAGCGTTCTCACCTGTGAAGCAGGGACCTCCGTGCGAACTGAGGCCGTCTGCAGCTCACACTGTGTCCTTAGGAATGCCAGGCAGATCGCTGGAGGAGCCCGGGGCAGGCACCCCGAGCAAGGCGCGCCTGCAGGCCCTGGCTGGCTTCCAGCAGCGAGCACTGCGCCACGCGCTCACCTTCCCCTCCCTGCGGCGCCTGGTCTACTCCACGTGCTCCCTGTGCCAGGAGGAGAACGAGGATGTGGTGTGGGACGCCCTCCAGCAGAACCCAGGAGCCTTCAGGTAGCGGGGGGCCGCCGGGGTGCCGGGGAGGGGGGCTGCTCTTTTACCCACAGCCCTGCCATCCTCCTCCGCAGGCTAGCTCCCGTCCTACCCTCCTGGCCCCACCGAGGCCTCGGCACTTTTCCAGGGGCTGAACACTGCCTCCGGGCCTCCCCCGAGACCACGCTCACTGGTGGCTTCTTTGTCGCTGTTCTGGAACGGGTCGAGGTGTCGAGGTGAGTGGGGTGGCGGGGGCTGCGTGGAAGGCGCTGGAGGACCAGGCCGCAAGTGACTTAGGGACTCTCCTTCTAGCTCGGTCCCCAAGGCTGAAGCAGCAGCACCCGAACTCACGGCCGGCACAGCCCGGCGGAGGAAGAGGAGACGGCGCCAGGCCTCCGCGCCTGCTCCGGGGAGCAGTTAGAGCCCGGGCCTCCGCGCGGCTCAGCCCGCAGCTGTGCGGGACGGCTCCGTCCTTCCTACTGCCTGGTCTCCGCTCTAGGAAGGAAGGTGGTAACCCTGGCTCTCCAGCGCGGGAGACAGCGGATGTCCTTGTCCTGGGCCCCCGGGCCGCGTTCCCGCCGGGGAGGGAGTGCCGTCCCGCGCGGAAATAACAGGCAGGACATGGTCCATGATAGGTCACGGTTTTTTTTAATTCTTAAGGACAGAAGCAAAGAGAAAAATCTCACATTCGTACGAAAAATTCCAACTAGACTCACAGGAATTAAGTCTTTATTTGTCATGAAAAGTCCCAGCCTCCCGCCCCTGTCCAGTGCACGTCCACGTACACACGCACACACACACGCACACACTCAGGCTGCGCCGGGACACCCCCGGGGGCTCCCGAACCAGCAGTCCTGCCTGTGGAATGGAGGTAAACCAGCTCAGGGCACCACGACTCGGAGGACCGACCTTCCATCCGGCACCTGGAAGCTCGGGGTCCAGACCTGTGCCCCAGCCCCCAAGCCGGACAGCGACCGGGGACTCGAGGTGCAGGCCTCTCCCTCAGCTGCACGCACAGGGACACACGGCCTGCCCTCCCCGGGGGTGGGAGGGACAGTCGCCTGCCACGGCACTCAACCTCAGTCACGGGGCGAGGGGGGACTCCTTACATCTACGTCACATTATTTATAAAATAAGAATTACATTTTCTATCGTGTGTCCTGAAGGAGCGCTGGCCCCTCCGGAGAGCTGCCTGGGACAGCGCTGCAGCCTCTCGCGCAGGCGTAACAACTCTACAGCTAACTCCTAGTCGGTAGCGTTTATACGTAACCACCTCAGTGAACCAAGCTTGAAGGAATTTAAAAGGCAATTTAGCTTAAATACAAAAATAAATTTTTATTTTGTTAAAAAAATGTTTAAATATTTTTTTCCTTTAATTTAGACACACGCATTCATACTTCTCCCAAAGAGGATGGGCATGGCAGCGAGGCTCTTGGGCCCAGGGGATGTAATCTGGGGACGAAGGAAGCAGAGGTGAAGGGGAGGGGGAACCTGAATTTGAAGTGTGGTTCCATAGTTTTGGTTTCTACCACGTCCCGGGGTGGGTCTAGCCCACGGCAGGGTGGGAGGGGGGGTCAGGTCGGCGGGAGGGAAACCGCAGGGAGAGGAGGTCTCTGCTTCCCCTCAGCCCCATCCTCTTGGGCTACCAGCCCTTAAAGTCGAAAACACCATCGGGGAATCCAGGCGTGGGCGCGTGTAGCGTGAAGTGGCGCTACTCTGCACGCTCGATGAGCGACGCCCCAGAAACGCGACACAGCGAAGTCCGGCACTACCAACATGCCGCCACTCACACGGTTCGATTCTTCCTCCAAACTCGATTCAAAGAGTAACCGACGCGAGCATCAGACGAACAGGAGACGAGGCTTTAAACATACGGCCCGGGGGAGGGGAGGGGGGGAGGGGAGGCGGGTGCGGGCAGGCGGGCAAGGAGGGCCGTCCTGCCGGCTCCCCCCGCTTCCCGGGCGCGAGGGGTCTGCCCTTGCAGCTGCCAGGCTAACAGTCTCGAGCCACCAAGCTTTCAGGGGCCAAACTGGCAGAGGGCGGGGGACCACACGCGGACGTGGACTCGGCAGGACGCGGAAGAGCGGGAGCAGCGCCCGCCGGGCTCTCCAAGGCAAAGCCAAACTCGGGGTCGGGGTCACCTAACAGGGAACCGGGGAGGGACAGAGCAGCGAGAAGTGGGGAAGCACGGTCCCCTAACGGGACCCGGGGACAACCACTGTTTACAGGCAAGCCAAGCACGGAAAAGCTGTGGGGCTGACCCGGCTCCCCGACCCTGGTCCCCCACTGCCCAGCAGCGACGCGGGCAAGCGCTGTGCCCGGGACACCCCCGCCCCGAGCTGGCCCTCCGGGGAGCGGGAGGGAGGCCGCCTGATGACGCGCGTCCGCCGTAGGAGAGTCAGGAGAGGAGGGGACGTATGTACAGATGCCCTCGCCCGCTCTCCAGCCGCCCCGGAGCTGCCCTGTGCCCCCGCCCTCAGAGGCCCGAGGCTTCCCCCTCGAGGAGTGGGCGCGGCCACCAGGGCTGCCGCTGCCTCCCCAGGGCGGAGGCCGAAGGTGGGGGCGGAGGTTGCTCTACGGCACTACAAGGGTCAGAGGCTCCTCCCAGCAGGGGCTGAGGTCCACATTCTTTCGGGCGGGGAGGGGGACGGAACGGGACAAAGGCTACTTCTTGCGGGTGTGCTGCCTGCGGGCCTGCAGCCGCTGCCGCGCCCCGGGGGTCTTGGATCCTGCACCAATGGAAAAGGAAGGGGCCGCCGAGCCTGGAAAGATGCAACAAGGTCTCGTGAGGCAGCTGCCGCCCGGGCACTTCCCCGGGCACCCCGTCTCCGCAAGGCTAGGCCAGCAGAAGGCTGGGTACCAGGCTGCGCCTCCCCAAACCGTGTTCAGTTGCTGGGGGAACGGGAGCGTGGGGAAGCCCTAGGAAAAACGCAGAATCCCAGATCACCTGCAAGCGAGCGGGAAGGCATTTTTACCCGGCTTTCCGGTGGTCTGGAACATTCCCTCCAACTCCCTTCTTGGGCTGTGCTGGCCTTCAAGCCAGGCCACATCTTTCTTGTGCTTCCAGGCCTGACCTTTCCCAAGGGCCCCCAGAGCCAGGAACCTATCAAGTACCCCTCCCTCGCCGGAGAAGCAGGTCACACCGGCGACGAGACCTGCCGCTTACCGAAAGGTACGACGCCAACAAAGCCTTGGCTGGGTGTTGAGGATGCCCCAAAGGAGAGACCACTGCCCGACGTGCCCACCCCAGAGGCAGGGGTGTTCTGACCAAAGGTGGGTGTAGAGGTGCCTAGAACAGAGAGACCGCAGGAAACTAGCACCTAGGCCGGTGCACAGAGGCGTCCGCACTGGGTACTGAAGCCCGGGCGCTGTCCCCACAGGGCACCTCGGCCCTGGACCCCCGTGCGGGCTCACCCCAGTGCTGGTAACTGCTGCCCTCCCCACCCGCTACAGCCCAGCGAAAGCCCTGCAGTGCTGCCTTCTGGCCCAAGGAGCGGAGTCTTCCTGCATTCCCGCGACCGGCAGAGCACAGGAGGGGCGCTCAGCAGACCCCCACCTTCCAGCCTGACCAGGTTACTCCCCTCTGACACCACTGAGTTCTGCCGCCTCTCCCGGTTTCCCCTCCCTCCAGAAACCTGAGCCTCCCACCAAACACCGCCCCCCACCCGTGGGTCCCCTCGCCTTCCCACAGCCACACCAGACTGCCTCTGGCCTTGCCACCAGAGGCCCACTGTCCAGTCCCGCCGCTGCCTCCCGACAGCCCTCAGAGGAGGGCGGGCCTCCTCACTCCTGACCTTGCCATCTCCCTGTCTGCCTCCACCCCTGCCCCGTCCCAGTCACCCCAGCCAACCATCAGGGGCCCTCCAAGTTCCCAGAGGGCCCCCAGGTCACGGAGTCCTCCTGTCCCAGCGTGCCCCCATGTCCTTGCTGCGGGAACCTACTAAAGCTGACACAGGCGGGGTCTCCCCTGCCCTCCGTGTGCTCACGTGTGAACGCTGCTGAGGAATGACCTAGCAGTGTGGGCTGGCCTCACCTCAAATTCATAAACCCAGTTCTCCGGTGCTCAGAGCTTCCTGGCAATTCTACCAGAATCTCATTATGTGCTTTTCCCCACTCTCCCAACCACTTCGAGAGGCCCTTCCTGTACACACAGCTCCCCAGTCCAGTCCCTGTGACCCTCTCTCACATTTGAGAATAGAAACCATCAGGACGAGAACTTGTAAGTCACCTTCTGCAGGGCAGATACAATCCCTTCATTCTTCTCCTTAAATTCTACAAGGACCTCCCTTCGTACTTATAATCCAAATTTAACTCTGGCCCTGAATGACCTTCAACTCCACCTGCCTCCCCACAGCATTTTGGATCATTTCCATTTTCAGATCCTTGAGCCACACTTTGCTTTCCTGTGTTCCTGAATGAGTGGAGCTTGCTCCTGCCCCTGGACCTTTGCACTGTCTCCCCTGTGCCCAAAAAGCGCTCTCCCACACACACATACCCACCCACACTCCCAACCCTTGTGCACAACCCAGATACAGACTTGGCTTAAATTTCCTCAGAAGAGCCTGCCCTCCTTGACTACCTGAAAAGCGCCCCCACAGCCACTCAGGACGCCCTGCCTTCTACCTGACGCCTCCTGCTCTCTGAAGCTGTATTTAACCACTGACCACCAGCCTCGTCCCGGCCAGACCGGGAAGCTAAGTTAGGAAACTGATCCCTGCACTTAGGACGGCGCCCGCTGTGGCTGACCAAGGCCATTCCCGATCTTACCTCCGAACACAGGTTTGCTCTCAGGGGTGCTGCCCACATTGAAGGCAAAGGGTGTGCTCTGACTGGGTCCGCCCAACGTGCTCTGACTCAAGCCTCCTCCGAAAGGGGTCGTGCCGCTGGTGGTCCCGCTCTGTCCCGTGCCAAAGCTGAACGCTCCGGAGGTGCCGGGGGTGGCCACGTGGATCCCAAAGCCCCCGCTGCCGGCCGGGCCGGCAGATCCTCCAAACGTGAAGGGCGACAGCGTCGCGCCGCCAAACACGGAACTACCGGTCCCGCTGCTGGTGGTCTGGGTCGCGGCCCCAAAGCCAGAGGTGGTGGCCGCCCCGAAGGAGAACACAGGCGCGCCGCCGCCGAAGGCAGGCTGGGTGCCGGCAAGGGTGCCAAAGGCGGAGGCGGCGGGCTTCAAGCTGCCGAAACTGGACGGTGCGGCGCTGCCGAAGGCAGGCTGGGCCGGGCCGGGCGCCGGGGTTGCGGCCGGGGTCGCGGCTGCGGAGTTCCCGAAAGTGAAAGAGCTGCCGAAGCTGGGGCCGAGGGCGGGCTTGGCGGCCCCCTGCGGCTGCCCGTCGGCGGCCCCGAACGCGGGCTGGGGGTTGGCGCCCGGGTACGCAGGCAGCGCGGGCTTGGTGCTCGAGCCGAAGGGAATGTGGAAGGCCGGGGCCGCGGCGGCAGCGGTGGTGAAGGTCGGCGCCGGCGGGCTGCTGGTGGCGGGGGCGGGCGTGCTGAGGCCGCCGCCAAAGCCGCTGAGGCAGGAGGCGCCGCCGCCGGTGGCAGCGGTCCGCACGGCTCCAGGCAGGGACTGGCCGAACGTGGTGACGGCCGCGGACACGGGCGTGGTGGGCGGCTTGCCGAACTGGAAGATGGAGCCCGTGGCGGGGGTAAAGCTGGCCCCGGAGGCGGGGGGGGGCCCCAAAGAGGAAAGGGGGGGCAGCGGAGGTGGTGGTGCTGGTCACGCTGCTCACGCCGAAGCTGAACACGGGCTTCGAAGCGGAGTCGGCCGACGTGCTGGCTGTGCTCGCGGGAGCCGCGGCTGAGGTGGCACCGGCCTGGCCGGCAAAGAGAGGAACGTTCCCGGCAGTGGCCGGGGCAGCGGTCTGACTGAAGGAGAAGGGAGCGGACAAGGGCGCAGACGTAGGGGACCCCATGCTGCCAAAGATAGGCTTGAACATGGGCTGAGGGCTGCTGGCAGGGGCAGGGAGGGCAGAGCCGGAAGGTGCCGTGGTGGCGACCTTGGAGGGGCTGGACAGCAAGGGGTCCTCGTTCTCGCTTTTTGGCGGGACCACAAAGATGGGCTTGAACATGGGAGATGCTGAGGACACGCTGGGGGCTGTCGACACGGGGGGGTCAGCGGGCGCGGCGCTCAGCATTCCCAGCAGAAGACTCGGCTTGGGGGTGGGGGACGGGGCAGCCGGGGCTGGGGACGTGGCGGCCGTCTCAGCCTGAGGAGCCAGAGGGGACACGGTGGTGTTGGTGGCTGGTATCTGGGACGCAGCAGGTGTCAGCCCCAAGAAACTGGCTGCAGATTTGGCCTCTGAGGTGGTGCCTGGAAGGGGCCCTAACTGTGGAGAGCCAAGAGGGGCCAGAAGGCCGGGTGTCTTCGGAGGCGAAGGGGCCGCAGTGGCCGCCGCTGCCGTGGACTCTGGGGAGAAGAGAGAATGGAGAACGTGCGTCCTAAATACCGTGGCGGGCCGGCACTCGGCGCTTCTGTGCCGGGGCCGGGGCCGGGCGAGGGCTGCCAAGTCAGTCCGCGGATGTGACTCCCTCCATACCACAAGCCCTTCAAGTGCCCACACCCTAAAATCGAGGTGCTGTTCGCTATTTCTACCCTTCACAGATCGTAAGCTACTGGGAAAATACAATTTGGCTTAAATGGAGAAGCGATGTGTGAACTCTACGGAAAATCCAAACACCCAGACTCAAGTCCAGTGAAATCCCTTACTCGCCCGAGAACGGTTTACCGCATTTGCCCGCGGCGGGCGGGATGCGGAGCATGCAGCTGTGGACGGAGACCCCTGCCGCGGGGCTCGGGGAGAGGCTGAGGCCTGGTACAGCCCGCTGCGTGCCCAAGTGTGCCCAGAGGAGCGTGGGCACATGCAGTGCCGTGACCGACCCCTGGACACCTCGAGGGAAAAGGACTGTGTCCTCTCGTGCCTGTGGTCTGAAAGGCCCCGAACCGCGTGAGCCCATTTCCATTTCAAAGAGGCTCGCGCCTCGCAAGCTGTTACCCGTGTATTATGGAAGATGACGGCAAGGCTCAGAGCAGCTCAGGAAGCGAAGAATTTCAAATCACGAGCCACGTGAGCCCCGTGACAGCCAAAACAAGGCCACTGATCCCAGCTTGAAGCACGGCAGCCCCCTTCCCGCGAGCTTGCTGATCACAGACTTCAGAAGCTCTTGGGTGCGCACCAGCTCGGGACGGCTGAGCCACACAGGCTCAAGCTCCCCCAGGTTTCCGAGGGGCTGGCAGGCATGCGACTTCTGCTTCGAGTGAAACCTAGCTGTGTCCTGTGCGGCAGAGGGGGCTCGCCCACTCACCCGGGGAAGACGGCAGGCTGGCGGAACTCTGCATCTTCTTCAAGCTCTCCAGCAGTGGGTTGGTGCTTGGGGCTGGGGCTGGGGTGGAGGCTGGGGCGGCGGCGGTCCCAGCAGCGGGCAGGGTAAACGTCAGAGAAGGCTGAGTGGTAGGGGGCTTCTCGGTGTCACAGTTCGAGGCAGCATCTAAAGGAAGGAAGAAAGACCGCGTTTGGCAATTTTCTCCCAGGGGTACACCACGGAGCATGGGGCGTTCGGGGTCTCAGCATCTGCTTATCTGGAAATCCCTCTCCAGTGCTGGTGCTCACGGTTCTCCTGAGGACCCAAAAGGATTTCTCAGATGAGAAGGATCCAAATAAAACCTCTCCGGAGCACTGAGCTGGTTGCTCTTCCTTACCGGTCCCTTCCGCCAAGGCCTTGTTAAACCACCGCAGCGAAGCTCTCTTTTCCAGATCGAGGTCTTCGGCGGTGATGGAGTAGCCAAGCTGGGGAGGAGGGGGCTGCCAGAGAGAAAGACGAGAGGCCTGTCAGCCAGAGAAGCTGGAGGAAGCCTGCACCCGGCTCCCTAGAGCTTGCGATCGCGGCGCTGGGGAGGGCAGGTGTGGACGGACAGAGCAGAGCCCTACCAGCGCCAGCCGGGCCCCTCGCCGCAGGGGCAGCAGCTGAACCTTCCGCCTGCGCTGCCCTGAGCTGCCAGGCGTGGGCGGGGAGCTCCACGAGTTCTGTGCTTTCCACGTGGTCGAATCTGCAGCTGAAGAAACAATGACGACTTGTTTTCTTCCTCTTCTCCTCCAGAAATGGCAGGTTTGTCCACCCACCTGGTTTTTCACACTGAAACTTCACTGGGTACCTCTGAAAGGTCCTACCTTCCATGGTTGGGGTCTTGGGTACTGTTCCGACATTATTTCAGACGGGAGGGCCCCAAACACAGGCAGACAAGTGCTTACTACCGGATGGGCACTACCTACGCCGCTTGCAGACTGCTACGCCTCTGTGGACCGCCAGCCCACAGTCACGCCAGGCTGCGGTGACCTGCCCGTGCCACAGACGACAAGACGGGCTCTTTCTGCTCTGCCTACCAGAGCCCTACATGCAGCGATGCTCATCATGTGTTTTTGGACAGGCGGCGGTCTGCACACCCTTCAGAAACTCTCCCACTGCAAGCCACTCTCACACACTTCTCAACCTACCTCTTTCTCCCTGGGCCTCCTTGTCTGCTGCCAACGGAGTTGAAGAACTGGAGCGATGAGAAAGCTCGTCTTCTCTGCAGGCAGAAGAGGCACCAGTGCGCTTAGAAACACCTCCTGACTTGGGCACTTGGGTGGCTCAGTTAGTTAAGCGTCTGTCTTTGGCTCAGATCATGATCCCAGGGTCTTGACATGGAGCCCCGCATCGGGCCCTCTGCTCAGCAGGCAGCCTGCTTTTCCCTCTCCTCAACCCCCTGCTTGTGATCTCTCGCTCTCTCAAAATAAATAAAAGTAAAATCTTAAAAAAAAAAACCAAAAAACTCCTCCCCACAGACTACTGGGTAACTTCTTACACCCTCCTAACTACCAACCAGCCAAAGTCCAGGCCGTCATAATTTAAGATCGCAGTATGCCAAGACAAAAAACTTAAGAAATCAAAAGAAAATTCCTACAAGCCAAAGGGAACCAGTTCATGGATGCCACGGAGAAACCTCTTACAGCAGGCACAACGCGGCAACCTTTAAAACCTTACTTAAACCTGCCAAGCCCTGAGAGATGTCACATATCTGACCCTAAGAGCAGCGTTCTGGTTGGCTTTTGGTGCCTAGAGGGTCAGCAATCTAGAACGTGGCCTCCCCTGCCCCTGACGTAACTCACTCTGCTCCCTGTGCTCGCTGTGGCCTCCCTGCACAGCCGGGCTGCTCGGGCTGTGGGATGAGGAAGAGCCTGAGCCTCTAGGGTCAGCATGGAAAACCGTAGAGATGAGAGCCGCTCAGGCAGGTACTTCTCACTGTCCTTCTAGATGGCAATGTGATTCTCCAACTCACAGCCGCAGGAAGCCTAAGAGCCAAGCATGTGTCCCCCCTTTCTGCGAGTCAGGACTCCTTACCTTATTTTCTTTGCTGGCCTCTCTGGTGTCTGGGAGCGGGACGAGGCGGGGCTAGATAACGGAGACGAGCTGGGCCCAGTTCTCTTCCAAAGCTGAAAGGTACACAGTGACATGACTGAGCCTAAGGACAATGTAACTCTGCCTATCAAGTCTTCTTTTCAGCGACTTACACATTTCTCTATGGGGTGCCTGACTGGCTCAGGTGGCAGACAGTGTGACTCTTAACCTTGGGGTTGTGGGGTCAAGCCCCATTTTGGGTACAGAGATTACTCAAAAATAAAATCCTAGGAAAAAACCCCCAAAAAACAACATTTGTGAAGGAAAGTTAACTGCCAGTAATAACTACGGGGGGAAATAATGTGAACGAGTACGGGAAAGCTCGGCAGTCAGCGCGTAAGCGGGGAGCGTACTTTCCGCACACACTGGAAAGTGGAACGTTACATTCGGTCATGGTTTAGTGCCATGATGCCTGCAAGTTTAGAGTATCTCAGAAATGATAAAACTAAGAAACTTTTCCAAACCTCTGCCCAAAACCCTATCACAGCGAAGATAGGCCCGTAATCTAGTCCTGCTTCGGTTAAATTTTCAGTTTTACTCCAACTTTTTTTAAAAAAATGTGCTACCAAGACATTTATGACTTTTGCAGCATCTGTGATGTTTACTGTTACATGACAACGGTTCAGACACGCCGTCTATTCTACCAGGCAGTCCCCTGATAACAAAGACGGTCTGTTCCCACCCTCCCTCTCCTCCTGCAAAGCGGCCTTGTGGCAAAGTAACTGACAGGAAGCACCCGCACGCAGCTCTCTGTCTAGCCTCATCACAGCAGCATGGAGCTATCACTGTAGACATTTTTCTCACTGAGGAGCTTCTGGTGATTTCTTTACTCCTTACATCATGTAAGGGGCAGCTGGGTGGCTCAGTTGGCTGAGTGTCCAGCTCTCAGTTTTGGCTCTCATGATTTCAGGGTTGTGAGATGGAACCCCGTGCTCTGTGGGGCGTCTGCCTGAAAGTCTCTCCCCCGCCCCCTGCTCCCTTGCACGTGCACTCTAAAATAAATAAATCTAAACAAAAACAAAAACCTCTCTCTGTAAAAGTACTGGCAGGTAGCAAGGACACTCTACTGTATACCCTTTGTACCATCTCAATTTTCAACCACTAACATTCCCGTAAAACAGAAAAATCTATGTGGGCAGGAAATAAAACATCCCCGAACCAAACAAACCATAAAATTAAAAGGCAAATGATTTCAGCAAGTCACCATCTTTACCTGTAAACACGGGAGTCCTGCAAGTCCACGGAAGTATAAGGAACATTACCAAGTGAAAAGTAAGCAAGGGATAGAACAAGTCATAAAAAAAAAAAAAAAAAAAAAAAAAAAGAGTCAATCGATGTATCTAGCAGTCAACTTAGTTCCACACTGTGATTCACTTTTTAATTAGCCGAGTTCCCACTTCAGAGAGGTTCCGTACTTTACACTTGACAACGGAAGACAAGCAAGCGCGCTCCGTCACCAGGAAACGGCAACGTGGAGAAGGGGTAGGAGAGTTCACAAGCTGACCGTGATCAACCAAAAGGGAACAGAGGTGTCTACACAGGAGCCCGGGGGAGAGACGCAGCGCTGGTTAGAGAATTGGTAGAGGAGGAAGGGGACGTCAAGGACCCTTTCATGACTCCCCAAACAGCACCCGAAGAAAGACAAGCTGCACGGGCTTGCGATGGGACAGACCCACCACCCCACAGCAGGAAAAGAACGAGGAAGGGAAGGCTCCAGGAAGGGATCAGGTGCTCCCAGAAGAGGACAGATGTCCTGGTCTGGCCGCTACAGAGAACAGTGAAGGAGCAACTGGGGACTCCGAGTGCCAAGCTGGGGTCTGACGCGCTGGAGGCAAAGGAACTATTCCGACTTTGGAAAATGACGAGTCTCATTAGACACACGAAGAGATCAGTGCCATGCACGTAGAGGTCAGAGGCCAGCTCACTCCCGCTGTAACTGGTTCCCGTCTAACATGTGCACTGATTTTACAATTTCGAAGCCAGAGCTCCTAGCTCGGGCAGCCATAGATCCGGCTATTTCCTAGCGTTCCGCCGGGAGAACACGCGAGTCAAAGATCTCTGCTACCACCTGCGCCGAATGTAAAGGCTGTCGCCTTTGCTGATTACTGGAGATAATCGCTACACGCCAACACGTTTTTTTCAAAGAGAAGCTTTAACATGAAGAACTTTCATATTACTTCATCTCCTCTCCTAAAACCTACTTTCGGGAACTTATCACATATGCAAATACCACACGTGAACAGGGAACTGGAAACTCCCGAGAACACCGAACAGCAGTTAGTATCAGGGCTGCATTTCCTACAGGAGGTCACAGGCTCCACTGTCAGTGAGGGTGCTTATCCCAAACCCTGACCCTCTTTCAGGCAACAGCTGTGTCCTTCTAGAGCAACACTCCCGCTGGGGACAAGCAGCAAACACTGGGAAGAAGCAGCCTACACGTGTGAAAGCGGGGCAGTGCCAGGGAAGAGCTACCAGGCCAGGGGGACATCGTGGAGACAAGAGAAGAGGAGCCAAGGGCTGAGCCCCCACGTTTAGGTCCCCTTTTCCTCTCCCGGTAACCGCCAATTCCAAAAGGAGAAGCTGCAGTTGAGAGGCTGAGAGAAGCTTCTGGCAGTCTCACGTGGTTGCAAAGACAAAAATGAACTCAGGGCTTTCCAAAGTACAGGGGCCTTAACATGACCTAAAGCTTCTGGTTGGGATCCTCAAGGCTCTGAACAGGGACAGAGGGGAAATCAGAAATGAACCAGCCCTCACCAGAACTGATAGCCAACTCAGAATCAGGTCAAGTCCTCCCACACAGAGGTCATTGGCTCCTATCCTAGCTATTGCCAGAGGCAAGATAAAAAAGCAAAACCTCTCTGGAGAAAGATACCATCATTCAGAGCTTCAAGTCATCATCACATTTTTTTTTCAATGTCTGACAGAGGAACACAGCAGCGACAAAAATCAAATATATAAGAAAGTAACATTTAACCAATAACCCAGAAGAAGAAAGCACACATCAGAAGACACAGAAGATTCAAATATCGGAATTACTGAATAAGACTTTAGAACTGTTATAATGATTTAAATAACAATATGGAGAATCCTGGCAGACAAATGGGACACTATAAGGAGGATAACAATAATGATTTAAGAATGCAATGGGGAGGATGAAGTAGCACAGAGCTAAAGGAAATTGGTAGACTAGACAACGGAAGAACTGGGGGGTCGGTACAAAATGATGGGACACACAGACATAGGACAAAAGGAAAAGGATTAAACGTGTACTGGAACATTGAGAGACGGGAGAAAACAGGGCAACATCTGAAGAGAAAATGACCTCAAAACGGTCAAAAGACCTTAAGCCACATGACAAACCTCAAGGAACAGGAGGCATGTTAACCGCTAGGTGAGTGCTTCACGGAAATTTTCTTCTCAAGTGAAGCTGAAACACACACCAAAAGCGAGCGCGCGCCGGGCCGGAGAGCAAATCTATTTCAAAGACTGGTAGAAGCACGTCCTGTGAACTAGTGGAATTTAACTAAAAACCAGTAACAGAAAGAGAACGAAACAATTAACTGTTTTGAAATTAAGCGATGTACTGCTAAGTATAGAAATCAAAAAACAACTGGAAATGGAAATCAGAAAGTATTTGATCTGAATGAAACTGAAAAATACTTCTATTTCAAGACAGGGATGTAGCTAAGGCTTATAAAAAATGTATAACATTTAAGATATATATGTGTGTGTGTGTGTGTTAGAAAAGGGAAAAGGCTGAAAAAAACCCAGTGATCTAAGAATCTGGATAAAAGAATCAGAAAGAGGGATGCCTGGGTGGCTCAGTCAGTTAAGCATCTGCCTTCAGCTCAGCTCATGATCCTACCCTCCCAGGATCAAGTGTTGTATCAGGCTCCTTGCTCAGCAGGGAGTCAGCTTCTTCCTCTACCTGCTGCTCTCCCTCCTTACGCTCTCTTTCTATCTGACTAATAAATAAATAAAATCTTAAAAAAAGAAAAAAAAGAAAAAAAAAAAAAAAGGACTGCTTGGGTAGCTTAGTTGGTTAAGCACCTGACTCTTGATTTCAAGTTCAGGTCTCAATCTCCGTGTCATAAGTTCAAGCCCCACAGCTCCATGCTGGTCATGGAGCCTACTTAAAAAAAAAAAAAAAAATTAAAAAAAGAAGGAAATAGTATGTAGAAGGGCAGAAATTAAATATATAGAAAAACATGTAATAGAGTGACTCCTAAAACTGGTTATCTGATGACACAACCTTGAAAAAGGAATTTCCTTAATCCAATAAAGAATATCTACCCAAAATCTACATCAGGGCACCTGATGGTACAGTCAGTTAAGTGGCTGACTCTTGGTTTTGGCGCAGGTTGTGATCTCAGGGTCGTGGGATCGAGCCCCATGTTGGGCTCCGTGCTCAGGATGGAGTCTACTTGAGACTCTCTCTCCCTCCCTCCACCCCTGGCCCATGTACTCTCTCTAAATCTTAAAAAAACAACAACAAAAAATCCAACGTAAGAATCCTATATCAAACAGTATATATAACAGGAAATGTGGAGAGCACTCCCTCTGAGATCAAGGAAAACAAAGATGTTTGTGATCACTTCTATTCAACATCATACTTCAGATCTTAACCAAATACAATAAGGCATAAAACAATATGAGAACAGCGAGAGAAAAGAGCTGTCATTGTAGACAACATGACGTACATACAAATAGCCTAAAGAATATATGGGTGCCTGGGTGGCTCAGTTGGTTGAGCCACTCCCTTCAGCTCAGGTCATGATCCCGGAGTCCTGGGATCGAGTCCTGCATCGGGCTCCCTGCTCCATGGGGAGTCTGCTTCTCCCTCTGACCCTCACCCCTCTCATGTGTGCACTCTCTCTCAAATAAAAAAAAAAAAAAAAAAAAAAGAATATACAGATGAGGGGCGCCTGGGTGGCTCAGTGGGTTAAGCCTCTGCCTTCAGCTTGGGTCATGATCTCAGGGTCCTGGGATCAAGCCCCGCATCAGGCTCTCTGCTCAGCAGGGAGTCTGCTTCCCC